TTATAACAGGTTGAGGTCAACATTTGTTTCCTCAGTCTCATTACAGAACATTTGACATATTGTCTGTACCTGCAGAACCCCCAAAATAATTTAAATCCACAGAGATTTCCATCTTAAGACACTAGTAAAAACAGCAGTTCTTAAAACACAAATGAATCTTTACACAATAACTAGTGAATGCCATTCTGTATATGACAGATCCCTATCTTGCTATCTGTTACATGGAAGTTTCTGTGGTAACACAGTTAAATATTTCCAAAACAGTGCTCTCTATATATGGGTAGAATTTATGGGTTGGTGTTCAAATTGGACAATTTAGGTATCAGTTCAAAAGGACAGAACCATTGCTCATTCTGTAACAAATTCAACATAGAAACATGATTGGAATGTATAAATCAGTGAAAATACAAAGACACTGCTGTGGGGCATCAACTTACAGTGTCAAGGTGAGTGAATTTTGGAGCTTTCTTTGGAAGGTGCCTCTAAAACGCACTAAACATTGCTTTTCTAAAGTGTGAGATTTTAAACAATATCTTTAAACAATACCTTATTTTATATGACATTAACTACAGGTAAGACTGGGAAGCAAATGATATTATCCCCATTTGCACATATGATAATGAAGGCAAACAGAGAATAAGGCCAAAATCTTCAAAAGTGGCCGCTGATTTTATGTTCCCCCTTGAAATGCCTTGATTTTCAGATTTTTGGCATATGACACAAAATAAGGTCTGCTGTGCATATTGGGTTCAATGTGCACCTGCTTTCCGGTAGTAAAAGCTGGGGAAATGGACAAAATTATGTAGATCTTTTTCCAAACCTCTTGGCTGCTTCAATATATCCTCCTCGATGGCCCAATCAAAACACCTGTAACTCCTCAGTGCTGTCAGGGTGGGAAAATTTCATAGTTACTTTCCTCCTGGTGTTCTCCATCTGTCATGGCTTTGCTCAGTGTACTAGCAACCTCCTGAGTATAGGGTGACTGAACAAATTTGCTTAAGTGGAAGGATAAGGGGGTTAGTCTGGGACTGTGGAAACCTGTCTCCCTGTGTCTTCACACAAACTTCCTGTGTGGCCCTAGACAAGTCGCATACAGCAGTGGTCAGCAACCTTTTTTAAAGCTGCAGGTCAAAATGATCCAGTTTGGGGCAGAGGCAGGTAAATGGGTGGGTGCCCAACTGTCACCCTTGTGTTTCCACTTGGCAGCATAGGGAAAGTGTCTGCTGCTGCCTCTTCTTTCTATGGCACTGACCACAACCAAATCCCTGTGCTGCTGAATGCTGCCAAAGCCCCATGTCTATGGGCTGCATCAAATGGTTTTTCAGGCCAGATCCAGGCTGTGGACTGTAGGTTGATGATCTCTGACTAGATCCACAGAAAGGCTTAACTATCCTCAGTGGGCTTAGGTAGATTTTAGATACTGAAAACCAAAATTCTTAGCCTTAAAATCCTCACTTGGGTGCTGACTAATCATGTACATTATGAGTCTACATTATGAGACTGCTGAGATTATAGTTTTGCCAAAACAGCTGTAATGCTGGAGCTCTCTAGTGGAAACATGGTGGTAGAAACTTCTGCTTTTCTACCTGCCTGAACAACACAATCTCTATAATTCTGACAAAATGAATTGGGAAAGGAGGTTTCTGGCACAGCTATGTCAGTGGGCAATCATGACAAAACATGTAGACTAAGCCTAGGTTTTTGCCACCAAAGTTCCTTAGGCAGTTAGGGCATTTATAGACATGCTCCTGGAGGCAGAGGAGGTGCTTTAATTAGTGAGCTATGCTAATTAAAAGCACCCGAGCATCACGTGTATCAGCATCCCCACGCTGAAAAATGGTGGCAGGGTGCTTTGAACTAAAACTCATTGAACGAGCTTTAGTTTAAAGAGCCCTACTGCCATTTTTCAGCATGGGGATGTTGATACATGTGACATTGGAGGTTGATGGATCGCGTTAATCTCTGTGTTCCAGCAGACTCAATTAACTGAGTCTGCCCCAACACACAGGATTTACAGCAGGTCGGAGTAGCCTCGCTGCATGTCTATAGAAGTCCTTAATGTTCTGCTTCTGGGCATGCCCAAAAATGTCTCAGTCTTGACATGACTGAGCAGCTTGTTGCATATTCCATGTGAATCTCCTATTGGGAAACAAGCAAGATCCTTTAATGATCCTAAAAGACCTAACCCAGTAAGTATGCTTTAATTTAGGAAAAGATTCAGGGCTGTAAATCCCATCTGCAGGTTGGCATCTAAGAGGGGAAGATTTAGACATGTCCCGCTCTTCAGTGGTTCATAATGGCTGACTTAAGCTGCTCCCTGATCAGCATGCAAGGATATCATAAACCCCATTCTGAGACCTATGTATTATACAGAGATTTAAGGCATCTATCTCAGAGCTGTGCATTCCAGGCTGGAGGCCAAAAGCTAGGTGGTGTGACGCTTAGCTCTGTGGATCTGACCCCTAGTCTCTTTGTTTTAGTTCCCAGTAATGAAAGAAGTTATAATTTAAGACACTTCCTTACTTGGAAGACATCAGGGGTTGGGAATTGAGGGATGGTCCCCTCAGTTGGTAAGATAGTTGGAGACACTAGTGATTAGTTGGTCATTCAGTTAGAGTGATTGGTAAGAGATAGACAGAGGGTCCGCAGAGGTTGCTTACTGCTCAAAGATGAAAATTGTTGTCTTTCTCATTCATTGCACAGTATGCCTGTATTTATGGAACCTGGTTATCATCATTACATTCCCTGTCTCAAAAAAATGATGACAATGGAGCTCTCCTACCTCACAGTGGGACATTTATTAAAGATGACAAGGTGCTCCAGTACTACAGTAATGGGGGCAATGAGTACCTACGATACACAGATAGCCATGGATACGGCTGTTCATGCTGGATCTGGGAACATTCTAGAGATCTTTAATTCTGGTGTGACGCTGAAGAGTCAATATCCTCCGTACCTGAATGCAGCTTCAGGTTTCTTGGAGGACAATGCTCATGCTGATGACATGCCATCTGGTAGGAACAACCTGTATAGTGGGGGAGATCCCTGGGTATAAACCACCACTCTGAATTAGTACTGAGGGGCAGCACCCCTCTAGGAACCAGAGTGGGAAGAACAAGGAGAGCATAAAAGATGTGTGATTAGCAGAGATCGAGCCAAATGAATCTCAATATTAATCATATAGGGACCATTCCTAAAATGTACTAGCCATCTGATGAGATTTCCTGCTGTGGATGATAACAGCACGTGTTCAGCATGTTTTTCACTGAATATGACAATAAATTATCCAAAAATCAATAAGTACTGCCTTTTTGCCCAAATTGTACCCTGTTTGAATATATAATTCAGTCTCGAGTAACTTTCCACAGCATGATATAAAAAAGAGGCATTTAGCCTCACATCTGTATTAGGGTTAAAAATATACTATTCTCTCCTACATGTATGCCCCATGATATGAGCAGCCCCTTTGTGCTTAACTTATTATTTTAAATAGGAGGAGATATATAAATAATAATCATGTATGCAGGAATGAAAAATCATATGCAGAAACCAGACAGAGAAAGAAAAACATATGCTGAGATTTTGATGACATTTCAGGTTTAGAGGGAAAAACTGAAGTATAAAGAGAAATAGCATTTGTCTCTCTTGTAAGTGCATGCTATCTGATGCAAAGGTCAGTGGGCTTACTATCACCACCTTCACATCAGCAGTAGCTAGTCTCCTTTTTTGCTTTCACTCCCTCAGGAACTGGTACAGTTAGCTTAGTCTGGTCCAACTGGCCTGATACGTTACCCTGTCTATAAGCAAAGAGAGCGCATCATACCCTAAAATACAGGGCAGGAGGCCAAATACAGCAGTTATGCTATTGCTAAGAGAATAGGTTAGGAGGCTACAGACTGCAAAATCTAGGTGGCTGGGATGACCGAGGATTCCTGGAGGGGGAAAAAATTAAGAAATAAAAAGCAAGGATCTTCCAAGTCGGCACCAATGGAGCTGTACTGCCTTTTGCCAGGTTCAGATGCCTGTGAAGGCAAGTACATCCTAACATAAAGGGCTGTTTTCAAAATATAATCACACTGCTACACAGCAACCTCTATGTAATAATCAGTCCAGTTTGCTGCAGTAGACCATCTGCTTTGCTCGTGCTGTAGTACGCTAACACATACTATCTGCTTACACTGCTATTGAGCATATTGGGGCATCAGCAGCACATAGGCAATCTGATCCATGCTGAAAATGTTAGTGAGCTGACTAAAATGAAATGAGCTGAAGAACGTAATTTCTTCTCTCCATACAGAAAGCAACATACTTGGAGAACAACAGAGATGTGTATTCAAGTAAATTACATATTACAAATAAGAGCTGTATCTGTGATTCACACACAGCATAAAGATAGAAAATTCCACTTGACATGAATTTCCTAGATAAGACTATCCCAGTCAGCTGTACTATCTGACAGTGATACCATACTGTCTGTATGTAGCAGTTCACTGCCCCCAAAAAACCTCCCAATCCTCCCCCAAATGAACACAAATACAAAACACATAGAAATACCGAGTACTCTAAGACACATACTATCAAAATTACAAAATACACCCATTAAATTCCACTATCACAGTTCAACACATAATACAGAACACACCCACCACAATCACCACCACCAAAAATACAAAGCACGCACCCCAAAACCAACATCCTACCACCTCCCCCACACAACCCTGCAACATACAAATAACACTCACTACATAAGCTAGCACAAATACAAAGCAAACAACCTCCCCACCCCCAACAAAAAAACACAAAATCAGCCCTTTACCAAACCTTGTGCTCTCGGAAATGCACAACCTCCCAGCCACCCCAAAAACACCCCATTAATACACACCAACATATCCCTCTACCACCACCATCTGCTACTCATCCAAAATGCCACCCCCAAAAATTCTATAACGCTCCAAAGAAAAAGCATCCTCCCATATTCCCCTTATGCCCCTTTTTCTAACCTGCATATCAAATCCATTCTCTACAGGGCTATTCTTCCTTGGTGGGAGTCCATCTCCTGCATTCTCATGTCCAAGAGGAGACTTGAGGGGTATCTGGCTGGAATAGGATGGCTTGGTGACCTCCACCTTGTTCCCAAACTTCAGGTAACAGGGCTGAGGAATGGTCCTGGCCGTCGGCACATGTAGGATGGGAGCAGCGCTGTGTACAGGTTTAGGTAGTCCTGATTTCATTTTGGAGGCTACCAGGATGGCTGGCATTTTCTCTTTCTGCTTTCCTAACACGTTTCTGTCAGCAGCAGCAACAGTAGTAGCAGCAGCAGCAGCCAGGGAGACAGAAAAGACACGTTTGGGAAGCTGCTATGCTTAGGCAGCCCTGCTTAGGTCTGGATGCTTCAAAAACTGCTTATCAAACACAAGAATGAAAGAAAAAGACACTGTTTAGCCTAAAATACCTCCCAGCGTCTTGTCAGCCTTCCACCTGTTTCCTCTATTTTCTTTTTAAATTAACCACTGTCTTCCTTCCTTTCCTCTTCTATTGCTACTGCTATTTAACTTGCTCTTTCCTTTCACTGGCTGACTCCTATAATTTTCTTCCTTGCAACAGAAGACTTTTACTTCATTATCTTGTCACCGCATCTCCAAAGTGAGGCAGCCTTTTGGAATAAAAAAAGGACCTGCTGCAGTATATGCCTCCTGTTCTGTGCCTGTGTGTGTGCGAGTGCGTGCTAGAGACAGAGAGAGGCAGAGAGAGCAGGCAGGATTTCCAGCTTAAGATGTCTTTTCTTCAGTCTTAGCCAAGAAGCAGATGTAGCTCAGTGTGTTAATGACTGATGCCCTTGGATATGAGCCTTAGAGAATCAAGCTTCTTAGTCTTAATATCTGTGAGCAAGACAATGATGCTGAAGCAGAAGGAGAAATGTCCATGGATGACATTTAAATGATAATAATAAAAAAAAAATGCCAGTTGTAACAAAATTCCCTGGCTCCTCCAGTACTGATCATGAAACGTTTAGGAAAAATTCAGCTGTCAAAAAGGAGGGAAAGCAGCCACCACCTCATTTTAAACATCAGCCCTGAAACAGGTTTCAGCACTGAACTGCTAAAATATCAAGTGTGTTCGAGGCAGCCTGCTGCTCCTACACCAAAGAAGGCTACAGAAATTAGCTGGTGGAGGAGAAGGTTGCAATCTGACAGTACAGTAAAACAGTGTGGCCCCCTGATTGGTCCTCCCGACTCAAATCAGAAACAAAATATCTCTGCAAAAGAGGAGTGGCTTCAACTGGCAGGAAACTCCATGACTGTGCTCAAGTACAAAGCAGGATCTGTAACAGCTCTGCTGCAGCACTTACTGCGCTTCGCTAACAGCAAGGATGCGTTACAGGCTGCACAGAGGGAGTTTCCTAGCCATTTAGAGAGAGAAAAAAAGCATAAACATTTTCAAATTAAAACCACATGACGCGGAATCATTACTCAGTTTTTACTCACTCTTCAACCAGGAAAACAACCACTGGAACTATCAACGGGAATTGGTCTGACTAAGGTCTGAATAATTTAACCCTTTAGTAGGAACACTCTTGAATGTGTACGGTAGCTTTCATTTCAGGACTTGCAAGGGTAAATCAGTGATAGAGTTATAGGTTTTCCTCTCTGTCGCTCCACAGGGAACAAGCTGCTACAGGCTTCCTGCTGTGAAGGCTTGGAGCTTTAGCTCACGCTGACCCTTATGTTTTTGGCTGTTGAGGTCTCTGCTTCAATCCCACTGTGTTCCCTAAAATGAGCAGGGCTCACTGGTCCCGTTTTTACAGATAGGATAACTTGAGTGACAGGGAGAGGCTAATGCTCAGGTCCTCAAAGCCCAGAGTTCCAGCATCAATTTATATTTTTTGAACATCCTGTAATAAACTCTACAGCCTGGAGTTAGGTGCCTAAAATCCACGTCTCAAGTTAGATGTCTCAGAATGGGATCCATATAAGCCAGCACAAGAAGAAATGCTGAAGTCAAGGATGTACCTTGAATCACATCCCGCACCACACCTCAAATCTCTTTCTGTGCCCTACTCTTCCAGCTCACAAGTCTCAGCACAGATCCCTTGCTTGAAGGTAGTCTTTCAAACACTAAGCAGAGCGGGACTTGGGGGCATGAATGCCATCAGGCTGCAGAGAGAATCAAACCCAGGTCTCCACACACCAGGGGCTCAAATCACTGAACTCTTAAATAAATGGAAGCAAAGCGGGAGGAGGGGGAAAGTGGAAGGGTCAGCAAGGCAGGCAGAATTAGGCAACAAGGGCAAGACTGCAGTTGTGGATTTAGGCAGCTATAGTAGAAGATAGGAGGAATTTAGGAGCTTAATTCCTTTAGTGTTCTAGCCTTAAGTGATTTGCCCAAGGTTTGATAGTATTTATATGACAGAACTAAAAATAAATAAATAAAACTCTTATTTCCTCTTTTAATCACACTGTCTGCTGTCCAGACCACATTTCTATGTGATACAGGCCCAGTATTCTTCTTCTTTGATCCAATTGCATCAGTTCAGATGATGTCAAAGTATTTTTTGAGATATTTTACATTAACTCGGTCATATATAAGCACATGCAAAGCCTGTACACACATTACTTTAATCTACTGTGTCAGCACTGGCCACTGATTCCTTGCTCAAAATCAGCCAAGTATCACTTCTACAGTTTGCTTGAAATCCACGTTAACTATACGTCTTTACTTTTGACAATCCTGCCCTCACATACACTGGCTCTGTGGGCTGCCTTGCATTAACTTTAAGTGGGTAATTTTTTTATCAGTAAATGTGTTTTCCTTCTAGTCTCCTTATCCACTAATCTCAGATTACAAACTGTTCATCTCTCTTTTTGCATCTCATTGGGACAGACCTTCTAATGTTTTCTCTTCTGCCACAGCATGATGCATAGTTTTTGCTTAGAAATTATCATGAAGACAATTTCAAAGCATTAAGAACTTAAAGAAGTGGAAGATTTATCAGATACCAGAACTGATGGTCGTGGGAGCTAAAACATCCCTCAAATTCCACTACACTTACCTTTGTTTCAGTGCAGGAAACTCATGCTTTTTAGCTGGAGCAAAACAAAGCAAAGATTCACAAGAGGAAATCTTGTAAAAGATTCAGTCTACATACAGGCTAGTATAATTAATTTTGCTGTAATATTTATAAATTGCCATAGGAAGCAGAAGATTTAATTGATGGCTTTGTTTTCTGCCTTTTGTATGAGACATTTGTTCAGTCCAGGTCACTGCCCCCATCTTCAGATACTTCTGCTGATTACTGTAGCTCTTGCTGCATTTTACATGCAAGGGAAGTTTACGTTAGATATTAGGAAGAACTTTTTCACTAGGGGGATAGTAAAACAATGGAGCAGGTTACCAGAGAGGTTGTGGAATCTCCATCATCGGAGGTTTTTAAGACCTCAGCTGGACAAAGCTTTGGCTGGGATGATCTAGTTGGGGATGGTCCTGCTTTGAGCAAGAGGTTGGACTAGATGACCTCCTGAAGTCCCTTCCAATGCTAATTTTCTATAATTCTATAACCACGATCTGAAATAAGAAAAATAAATCCCTTTACTGCTACTTTTTTAATTACTGTTGAATATTGTGCTTGTAAAAGATGGTAGAGGAGAGTCTCTTTGTCCCAAAGAATGGGCACGGTCATGGAGAAGAACAGGTAATGTTTCCATGGACTACTCCCAAGCAATATGCCCCCACCATTACCTACTGTAATCTACGCTGTATATGTTTTTCCATGTCTATTCAATCTATGGCCTCTGTTGACTGCCAGTTATTTTGGTGTTTTAATGATGTGAATGCCAAGCCCCAAAAATCTAACCTAGAAATTCCACATCTCTAACAATCTCCATTATAAATCCTCTGTGATCTATGTTTTATGGGTTATGTTGTAGTTATCAACCAAGTGATACAGAAGTAGAGCAGACTGTTGGAAAGATACAGTAGTATCACATCAAAATGTGATGTCATAGCATGTTAAAACAGTATATTACAGGCTAAATAGGCAAAGGCAAAGAAGCTCTATCTTGGCCTGTCTTTGGAGATTATTGGTTGTTTTCTACACCAGACTTTCCTTGTTTTTTAAGGATGAGATTTTCAATGAAGCCTAATTCATATTGGAAGCCAGTGGGAGTTGGAAACTGTGAAAATCCCAGTCTAATTTTTTAAATGCCAAATTTTAACTTCTCTAATAACTTTCAGTAATAAAGGACCAGGGAATCACAGAAAAATAGGGCCGGAAGTACCTCAGGAAGTCATCTAGTCCAGTGGTTTGCACCTTTTTTGTACCAGAACCCATCTGTAAACATCAGTGGCCAGTCCTGACCCAGTGCCCCTCACTCCTGACCTGCTGCCCTCTGCCCTTAGGACCCAGCCCTCCAGTATGTGGGGCAGAGGGTAGGTATGTAGGGCAGAAGGGGTATCTGTAGTGCATGGGGAGCTGCAACAGTCACAGTTCCAGCCTACAAGGGAAAAACTATCTTGTAAGAGCCTGGTTAAACAGAGAGCTGGCAAGAAGTTCAACATTTACTTTTAGATCGCCTCATTTTGGAAAATGAGAATGCCATTCTAGAGGGCACTGCAACATGTTTGTAGGAGGAACACAGCCAAAAATACAAGTTTAAATACAGGTTTATTCCCACAGCTTTACCACAATGGGCAGAAGACCTCTACATTGGCATTAAATGAAAAAACTAATGAAACATAATGAAACCTATCCAAACACGATTAAGAAAGGTGTTTCTAGTCCCTCAATAACAAACTTCAAACAGCCTCTTTAGCCTCACCATTAGTACCTTTTTTTCTTTGGGGCAGCTTTACCCACTGTGGGCAGGGAACCCCAGTTGCCACATATATGCAGACTGCTCCCTGGGCTTACCTCCCATGATACAGATTCAGTCTCTACTCTTCCTGTGTCTCAGTCCCACTGTCCATATAATTAATAAAGACATTAGTGTCCAGGAGAGGTTCCTGGGGAACTTCACTTGATACCTCCTCCCAATTAGACATCCAACCATTGAACATGCTGATCCAACCAATCATGTGTCCTTAGTTTACTAATGAGAATGGCATGGGAGTGTCAAAAGCCTTGCTAAAGTTGAAGGTATACCACATTTACTGTTCTCCCCCACATCTACGAAGTCTATCACCTTGTCATAAAATGAAATCAGTTTGGTCAACAGTGACTTGCTCTTTACAACTCCATGACTGCAGTTGCCAATCAACTTACTATTCAATGGTGAGGATATTTGAGAACTCATGGCACTCAGGAGAGGTTCCTGAAGATTGGAAGAGGGACAATGTGGTGCCTAACTTCAAGAAAGGAAGGTAGAAAGATCCAGGGAACTTCAAGTCAATCAGTGTGATCGCAATCCCTGGAAAGTTGATTGCCACAAAATAGCAGTACCAATTAATACTACCTTTTGTCACAGGCACAAATTTGGGGCACTTGTGGTGCAACCAAGGGCAGATGTTTGTTTGCTTTCACTTTGTGCTGACCTGCGTTTGCAGCTTAAGTAACCTCCTCTTTCCCTATTCCAGGCTGATTATCTATTCCCTTATCCTTGCTGCCAGCTATCCTCATCTGATGACTGACTTTATTTTTGAAGACTGAAATAAAAAAGGCACAGAGTACTTCTGCCTTTCTCACCTCATTCATTATTAGATTGCCCTTCTCAATTGATGATTAAAAGAAAACTGTTCATTTTACACAGGAAAAGTGAACCAATCTAAACACATGGAGCTCATTCTCCCCAGTCACTTACACCAAACTGGCCCCTACCAATGTGGTGGGAGGGAGAGGGCAAAGAATCTTTTAAAAACATTCCATTTTGCAGGAACCATCCAACTCATTTTCCATCTTTGACCAGATCCTGCCACCACTACAAACTCAACATTTTCCATGGTCACTCCTTCATACCTGCAATCCTGTTCATGTACATGTACATAACCATCACCTGATTGT